CAGACATTTTTAATTTAGAAAAAATTATCTAAAAACTTCTACATTTTTATTTCCAAGCCTTGATTATAGTTCTAAACATTAATTAGATCCAAGAAAGAGTGATCGCATAATAACCTCTAAAACGAATAACTCTAACGAATTTCTAGAAATGAAGGTTTTATCAAGATGGGCGTTGCCTGATATATAAAGTAGTACTGAAAACCGGAACTTTTGGGCAAATGGCCTAATTTGGCGCAATTCATCCTTCTATTTGTGAACCCTTGGAGCAACCTATACTGAACTGGTTTTTTTATTGCACCAAAGGTGTGGACAGCCTCGCAGTAGATCTGGTGAGGTACCAGCCTAAAATTTCTAAATGTATAGTGGCAAAGTAAAAATCTTCATGAGTGGGTGCCGCATGAACTAAACTATTACCAGCGCAATGAACGCATTGAAGTGTGCCTTGCGTTTTTTTAATATACACAGAAACCAAGGAATTTTTAATCCAAATTGTTACCTGCAATGAAAACTGGAGTTTTTGAAAATCGTAAGCGGTAATGATGTTGATTAGGCTCTGGTTCAGCATCTAGGCAGAGTCCCAAAACAAAACTTACCTCTAAAAAGTCATGATGACCGTTTCGTGGTCTAGTGCCGGTATTATTCGTTACAACTTCTTACCAAACGGCACCAGCATTACTACGGATGTCCACTGTGAAGAACTGGACACAACGATGCTGATGCTCGGATCACCCATTGTTAATCGCTCGTTACACTGTTCCTAGGCGACAACGCTCGACTATATATGACAGAACAGAGTGTCTTTAAGCCACAAGAGCTAGGGGGTTGGAAGTTTTGCGTCATTCACCATACTTACCAAGTCTTGCGCCGGAAAACTTTTACTTTTTCCTAAGTTAAGACGACTTCTTGGCTGGGAAAAAAAATAATATCCGAGGGACACCAACGAAATGCCTTTGAAGAATTAGTTGGCACACCTATCTTCATCAGAAAGGACATTGAAAAATAGCCACTCGATGCACCGCTAACATGGGTGCATATATTGATTGATAGAAATAAATCATTTATAATACAATTACTTTAATTTACTGTATGCTAAACGATAGGTTCATAGGGTCCTAATATTTATATTGATATGTTTTTTTAATTTTTTTACTGCCCTTGCAGGCATACGAACATACGGCCCACCTGATGGTGAAAGGTTACCGTCGCCCATCAAAGCCGGATGCACTGTGGGTGAACGTAATGGCTCCAGGTAGTATAGATGAACTCTACTCCGGGGGCGGGAAAAGTGGGAAATATCAGTGGTAGGACAGTAAAATTCCCTATGATTGAAACCTACATGAATCTATTTAGACTTTTTAAATCGTATTGACAGCCATCTCTCGAACGAGCTCACAGCCTACCAATCTAGCAGCCTCAAACAAGTTTAGGACTAACCGACAGCATCTTAAGGCATTTCCCGGTCAGTTCATATCAGTCGTGACAAGCCATTTAATTTGCATAGGAAAATCACAAGGTAGACTTATGTGCCTGACACAACTCTTACAAACTTCTGTTATTCCATTTTTTTTAAATGCCTTACACTAAACAGAGAAAAATCTCTACAGATGCACTATAGAGAAACGCAGTGGTTTTAGGTAATGCTACTACCAGATATCACGAGCGTTCGTTACATAAAGTTACTTACTCCCTCTCTTTCTTTCTTGTCCCTACTATTTTCATTTAAATTCCAACAAAAAAACTCCACCCTTTGACTTTCAACGACACTTCAGGCTTTTAATGGTTAACACCATATTTAATGTAAAGAGCACAATAAAGTATAAAAAATGGCAACGAACATCTCACATAATAATTTGAAAATATTACTACGATTGTCGTATATTAGGCATTATCTTTATTTACATTTATCTTGTGACATGTTGCTTTATGACTCAATCGTGTGTCATTGGAATGAATGCATTGCACAGCGACAAGTTTCTTTTATCTCTAATAAGATTCGTATTTGGATGGTCTGACGTCGCTAGCTCCCTGAAGTAATAAACTATTTGGTGTGTGTGATGGCTCGTAGCTAGTTTCCATTGTTGTACCGTAGACGATAATTATTAAGAAAATATTTTATTTCGCATTTCTTTAATTCGTAAAGGGCCGGTGACATTTACTTTATAATGTCTATCGGTTCCTGAAACTATCTGAAACGCAAAATTTCGTCTTGTTTAAATTCGAACAAGAACGTACTTCGACTGAAAAAATATGGATCAAAATAATCTGTTCTTGTTTATTTTTTTTGATATTTTCTAAAACAAAATGCTCCAGAGAAATGTTTTATAAAAACATTTTTTTTATAGTGCTTTGATTGGTGGACGAGATCACAGCCCATCTGGTGTTAAGTGATTACTGGAGCCCATGGACATCTAGAACGTAAATGCGCCACCCACCTTGAGATATAAGTTCTAAGGTCACAGTATAGTTACAACGCCTACCCCACCCTTNTTTTTTGATATTTTCTAAAACAAAATGCTCCAGAGAAATGTTTTATAAAAACATTTTTTTTATAGTGCTTTGATTGGTGGACGAGATCACAGCCCATCTGGTGTTAAGTGATTACTGGAGCCCATGGACATCTAGAACGTAAATGCGCCACCCACCTTGAGATATAAGTTCTAAGGTCACAGTATAGTTACAACGCCTACCCCACCCTTCAAACCTAAACGCATTACTGCTTCACGGCAGAAATAGGCGGGGTGGTGGTACCTACCCGTGCGGGCTCACAAGAGGTCCTACCATCAGTAAATATATTTATAAATAATAGAATTAAATAATATATTTAGAAAAAAAATATACAAAATAAAAGCTGGTATTGTTTAGTAGTACGTTAAAAATCACGTATACGAAGATCGTCTCATACAATGGACCCTTTCCGATTGCGTATGAAACACGTCGAATTTGTAGAACAAATATAAATGGTTGAGGGTAGATCGGGGGTAGATAATTACATTTTTTGATCTCGGGCAGCTGAGGGTCGCTGCAGATTCAGCCCACGGTAAATCGAAAATGTTTTGATAGTGTCAAAGATATGACTTGCCAGTAAACAGAAGTGCGTAGTTTCCTGCCTTGTTGTGTCAAATTTAATAAGAAACCAAAATATCAACATTTTGCTGTTTCTTAATGTTTGTACCAAAACACACTAAAATTATGTTGAAACAGGATACAGGCTCTCGAGGATTTTGGAAAAGCCTCAACCGATATCTTTCTAACCTTGCTAGATTACAATCATAGCAATCAAAGGGAAGCTGCGACTATATCTACTATATGATGTAAAAAATAGCTCAGACATGTTTAAATACTGGTGGTAGGACCTTGTGAGTCCGCACGGATAGGTAATAAGTGGTTACTGAAACACATAGACATTAACAACGTTAATGCCATCTATCTTGAGTTTCCATATCTTAAATGTACAGTATAATGACTATTCCACCCATCGAACTGTGACACTAATAGACAGGGTGGTAGACAGACCTTACTGTGCGGGCGCACAAGCGGTCCTACTAGTGCGACAATAATTATGTAGGCAAACGAATATTTTACTGATGGTAAGACCTCTTGTAAGTCCGCACGGGTAGGTACCACCACCCTGCCTATTTCTGCCGTGAAGCAGTAATGCGTTTCGGTTTGAAGGATGGGGCAGCCGTTGTAGTTGTAACTATACTGAGACCTTAGTACTTCTATTTCAAGGCGTGTGGCGCATTTACGTTGTAGATGTCTATGGGTTCCAGTAACAACTTAACACCAGGTGGGCTGTGAGCTCGTCCACCCATCTAAGCAATAAAAAAATACTTGCAAAATATCCGAGAAGTACCTACGTAACTAACGGTAGGAAACAAATTGGATGCGTGCTTAAAGACCATTTTAACATTAAATAGCTTCTTACACTTTCTTATTATTCCAGAGGTTCATTAGTTTTCGATGTCAGCAACAGAAACTGTTTACTACAAGCAAATAAATATGCTGAATTTAATGATCAGCTAAACAATGATGAGGCAGTTAAAGAAGAAACCAATATAGATGAACAAGCCAGCTCACAGCTCTTCTGGTATTAAAGTGATTACTTGAGCCCGTATCAACGGTAGCGCCAAGACGGTCACCCATCTAGAAGCGTAAGTTCGAAGTCTCATAACGCGCAACGGCTGCCCCATCCGTCATGTCCAAATGCCTAAGCGATTCGTGGTCGAACTAGGCATGCCATTTCCTTACCGCACAATACGCTCNATATAGATGAACAAGCCAGCTCACAGCTCTTCTGGTATTAAAGTGATTACTTGAGCCCGTATCAACGGTAGCGCCAAGACGGTCACCCATCTAGAAGCGTAAGTTCGAAGTCTCATAACGCGCAACGGCTGCCCCATCCGTCATGTCCAAATGCCTAAGCGATTCGTGGTCGAACTAGGCATGCCATTTCCTTACCGCATAATACGCTCTACCATAGATAACTTCTATTATCGATAGTAATTATATAATATATGCGGGAATATAGGGTTGATTACGAACATTCCAGAAAATCAAGTATGATATATTAGTTATATAATATTGATTACGACAAGAAGCATAAATATTGGCCTTTATCCTAACTTCTTTTACGGTTTAATCTCACGTTTATTATTTTCATTTTAAATTTCGGATCTTTCGAAAAATTTACATTTTTTGCGTCTTTTAATGTGCTGACTACCGTCATCAAATTTGCTATAAAAATTCTTGAGGTAAACGCAAATGTCAATTATAATTTACTGACGAAAACCGAAGAGAGTGTGTACTAAATGTTAGTTCTAATTAAAAACAGCTACTTTAATAATAATTATTAATAACTATTACTAGCAAATTATATACAAGCAAGCAGGAACACAATAATTATTATATTTAACCGCCTCACATGCATATCAAAGTCGCTATAGTTAACGAGTGCTCACGGACTAGCTAATGAAATAGTTTGTAATTAAATTGAATCTTACCTAAGAGCTTCATTACTTCGGCTTGACTGATGAGAACGTTGAGATGGCCCGTTGCCAACGGCAACGCCAGCACGGCCCAAACGATGATTAGCGATGCCATCTCAACACATCAAGTGTTGCAGTACTTATACGAGAGTTTCATTCGAACTTTTAAAGTTTATGTAATTTTCACTTTTTCAAAAAATATATTTAACCGAGTTTAAAACGTCGCGCAAGCAATTTGTAACTAAATATATTTTTAGGATGAACAGCTTCATTTTTAAAAGAAAATATTTTTTTACACAATAATAAATAATAAAATAAATTATGAATCCGCTATGAAAGTATCTAACGAAATACTATTATACAAAAAAATAAACGAACGATGGTTCTCAAACTTTAAAAAAAGAAAAGAACGCGGAAAATTCGTTTACCGAAACTCGTCCGTGCGGAAATGTTTCAAAGAGTGAGGAGCACGCGTTCGCTCGCGCCACCGCGCCGCACTGCCGCTTCAAAACGTTCCGCGAGCCAACAAGTTAGCAGCTGACATGCGCACACACCCCTAACTCTCAAAACTAATATCCATCGACGATTCAACGTTAAAATCCGCGTCGGAACTCATTACCGACCGGTAATGTATCGCGAAGTTTACTTCAGACGAAATGTGTTTAAAATTTTAAAGGCTTTTATTGGGACCGAGTCGTGTTTAAAGGGAATTAATTGAGTTTGTCTCAAGGGAGGAGCGTTTCCGTTTTGCATTAGGCCCTTTCATAGAGTACTAATAAAATTACGAGCCTTTTATATTATAGTGAGCGCGCGTTCGACGGGTAATCATTTTATCTCGGAACGTAGTAAATAAGGCTCTTGTTCAGAAACGGTATACTTTTGTATTTGAAATTCAGAAATAAAATCTTAATACGATTACTTGATGCTTTACATTGTGCTTGCTTTGATTTCGTTCAAGATTACGAACGCAAAATTATGTGAAATTAAATAAACAGTTAAAGGTTCACTGGCGAAACGGTTGGCCGACCCTTTGAATTTGCTGTGTCAGTGATAAGCATCGAAATGCCTTTAAATTATTAACCGATATAACTACTGTCACAAATCTATACAAATAAATAAAATTGAAGTGTCTGTTTGTAATATTGAAATTACAGATTTTTACCACATGCATATGAATATATATATGGTACATACACCAAAATAGCATTTTTTTACAATTTTTGTCTGTCTGTCTGTCTGTTTGTTCTGACTAATCTCTGGAACGGCTGGACCGATTTTGACGGGATTTTCACTGATAGGTAGCTGATGATATAACAAGTAACTTAGGCTACTTTTTTTAGACTAGCTTCGCCCCGCGGCGTCTCCCGCGGTACGACAATAGCCGCGGGTAACATCGCGGGGCTCAGCTATCAATAATAAAATGTAATGTTTCCGAAACGAAGCGAGGTTGGGTCGCTAGTATTAAATATACGCATTATAATATTTAACTATTTAACAATTTTATGGGTAGTTATATGTTCTAATCACGTATTCGTTTACAGTTTACAAGTAAGCTAAGAAATCTGAAAAGTTTCCGAAACACAAAAATATTTTAAATTGAAACAAATATCAAAATGCTTGCCATTTGAGCTGCAATGAGCATCAATTTGAAATCTCGGGTTATGTTCTTTGATTTATAACAATAAAAAAAAAATACAATACATTAAAAATATCTGTATGGAAAACTTGAAAACTTCAGAGAAAAACAAAAGAAAAACTAAATATGAGAATACCGAAAGTTATGCGCCACGTTGCGTCGGATTAGTTCCGGGAATGTATAAGTAATAAGTCGTGCTGGCACTGATGGATAACCGACTTAGATAAGTTTCATAAACAAAGGGATATTATGTCAAATTAGAATATCACGTCACGGAAGTACTTGGTAGTAATTAGATGAAAAACAACAGTATTTTTAATGCGCCATTAATATTAATATACAAAACACAATAAATAACTTTGTTAAGGCATCTTATGAAGCAGAAATGTTCGGTTTGATGGGTGGGGCAGTCGTTGTACTTTAAAAACTGCATTTACGGCATTTACTTTGTTGATGCCCATGGGCTCCGCTGATCAATTAACACGAGATGAGCCGTAATCTGTCTCTATTTAAGCAATAAAAAATATAAATAAGGTTTCAAGTTTTCTCCTGTTTAACAGATTTCGCTAAATACTTTATGACCAATCCAAATCGATAAGACGAAGTGAGAGAGCAAAGATCGGCGCTTTTGAAATGTGGTGTTGGAGGTGGATGTTGCGAATTCTATGGACAGCACTCCAGATTGATCCATTATGAAGGAGCTCTGTATTGCCACAAGTCTGCCGGTATCTGTATTCTCACGTACTTCAGTCACATCGCTCGTAGAGGTCCCGATAATTTAGAGAAACCGATGGTAGTCGGTCAGTTTGACGGGAGAAAATCACGCAGACGGTTGGCACGCAGGCATTGGCCGAGGCATTGGCAATAACCGAGGCTATAAAAACCGCCGAGGACAGGAAGACGTGAGAAAGCATTGTGCATTGAGTGGTCAATATTTCAAATTAGACACAACCTTCAGCACTGAAGAGACCGACTCAGAAGAAGAAGAAGAAGAAGAAATACTTTACTCGAACACAGAGTACTAATTATGTTTCAGAAAGGTTTCAATAGCTTAGGAGGCAGATAATCGACCCGCCTAAGTCAGTGGTCACGATTCGCGGGTATCACAGATGATACCAGAAGCAAAACTAATTCATTGCCACTGAGGACTCATTTCAGACCTCTCGTTTAGAAAACACGGTAGAGAGAGCCGGATGATATCTGAAAAAATAAATACGTAAAATAGATATGGACCCCGACCGGAAATCGAACCGGTACCAGATAGGTATATGGAATTTGCCAACAAATAACAGATTCTGAACTGACAGATTGAATTATTTTGAAGGTATAGTGCTTTTTTACTTGGTTTTAACTAGCTCACGATCCACTTTGTGTAAAGTGATTATCGGACCCACCTTAAGGCATGAGGTCAAACTCAAAATAACTTTACCTAAATTATTTTAATCTATTCTCGTGAGTCTTAGACACGGTTTAATCTCGTTGTTTTTATTGTACATAACACATAATATCATTACATATATTCATAATTATATTATTAAAACTGTAGAGCAATCAAATTTTCGGAATTAATATTACTACCTACCCTTCAATTTCAAATGCATGATATTTTGATTGTGCGATTGAGCGAACTCTTTTATTTTTGGGAAATCATTAAAATCAAACTAGTTTTCGATGAATTTGTACACGTTTTTAACTATTACAGTTTATAAACATTAACATTCGTATTATTTTAATATTTTGTTGCCAATATCCAAACTATGATCCACTTGCGCTGTCTGAACTATAAAAACCAGTGACTGTCAGTCCAACAACAGCAGATACGACTACTGCATGGAAGTGACACTTGACTTAAGGCTAGGAACTTCTATTTGTTCCAAGATTATACCTATATATGTGCATACATTTATGTCTGATCTTTAGTTCTTTGAGTTTTTATAAGGAACTTAATAACAGCGCGGGCTATTAACATTCCTATCGCCACCATAAAATGAATTTTTCTGTTTCTCTTGTTCAATACTACGAGTATAATTAAAGTAAAAACTAATTTTCGTCTCGGCTAGCGACGGTATGAAATAGTAAAATTTTAAACTTTCACGCGAATTCGAAATACAAAATCCCGATTCGAAATACGCCAATGAGCGCTACAGAATAAATAGGCAACAGTAATTTCAATCAAAAAGTAGTTGTGTGTGTTGTTGTAATTAATTGATAATACAACACTACAATTATTTGAATCAGCACATATTGTTCGTGCTCATTTTAAATGATTATGTCATATAAATATTTTATGTATTTATTCTGAGAGATAAAACAGCCCTTAACTTCCGGAACTAATCCATTCTTTTTTTTATTGCATAGACGGGTGGACGAGCTCACAGCACAACTGTTGTTAAGTGGTTACCGAAGCCGATTTGCAACGTAAATGCCGACACCCACTTTGAGATGATTTCTAAGGGCTCAGTATAGTTACAACGGCTGCTCCGCCCTGCAAACCAAAACGCATTACTGCTTCACGGCAGAAATAGGTAGGGTGGTGGTACCTACCCGTGCAGACTCACAAGAGGTCTTACCACCGGTACAACGTAACATATCATACACGTTCAGCTTATTAATATTTTGTACCATATTGGTACTATTACTAACATTAGCTGAAGAGCCCCTATGTCATTACGTAAATTTTATAACACATAGTATAATGATAAACAAGTTTCCGTTCACTTTATTTATGAAATGCGCTTGTATTCCTCCGTATAAGAATATGTCTCGTGACAGCAGGCAAAAGCAGGGAAATCATTTACCAATCGGTTTTAATCTGTTTGTTTTTTAGGCAAATACGTTTAATCTTATGCGTTTACTCACACAAACACATATTACAATTTGATATGCACTCATAATAATTAATAGTTATTTATTCTGTTACCATTGTCTGTCCGTGAAATCATGTGTAGCTATTGTGGTCTCTGCCGTCTATCAATTAGATTGATTTAGAAATAATTAAATCATATTTAAATAAAATCTTCATTCTACAAACCGAATCAATGTCGATTTATCAAACGCTATCACAGAAAGTGTAACATAAAAAACGCTACTCAATACCGCATTGTATGTTCGAAAAATCTATATAAACGTAAATTGAGTTTTATGTAAACGGCTCTAAAATTTATTTTACGAGCTCCACATTCTTATGGACCACACATGCCAAATGTAAAAGTTATACTCTCGTATACTTTAATATCCGTGAGCATTCAGATATAAAAGGTAAATAAAAAGATAATTAACTGTAAAGGTTTAATGGATTTATGACCTCTCAGAGATTTCTACGAAGGTTTATTGAGTTTATTTCTTATTCAGAATGGCTTTTTATACACACAATCTTGGTTTACTCTTCTTTATTCATAAATCAAAAAAACACCATAGAGGTATATAATACGGATATAGACAATCCTTTCCAGTCAGTCTTTTCCTAAGAGAAAAGTTTG